CTCATTTGGTTTCCTTATACCTCCTTTGCTTTCGACCTTGCCAGTCGCGATCCGATGAGCTTGTGGAAGAGGCAACGTACAATGGAACTGGACACACGCGGAGATTTTGTGAGGTCTAGCCGCTCTGTAGGTCCAAGAGGCGACAGCCAAAGCCAAAGAAGCGGAGAAAACTATGCACAGCAGGCAAAGCTGTGAAATCATAATTTCAACTTTGAGCATGCGCGCATTGCTTCTGACCTGGAGGATAAGCTCTATGCGATCTGCCTCCCAGCGTCTGCGGAATCAGCTGCAGGCATAAGTTGCACGTGGAGGACATACAGCATGGATGACAAAGAGGAAGTGTTGGGTCGCACAGGCCGAAAGAGGAGCCGCGGGGAGTGAGACGTCGGAGGAGCAATGTGTTAAGCGATGCTGCGCTGCAACCTGTCTGCTCTTCACACTTTCAGAAGGAGAGTACTCGCCATCGTGACCAACTTCAGCGTGTGGAAGAGTCATGCCCCTGGCTACATGTCAGGGATCTCGCCCATGACGTATTGTTATGGAGGAAGCCCTCCACCATGCCACGTCCATCAGCTGCTAGGAATTAAGTGGTGCCATATTCTCCATCAACAGTAGTACGTTGGTTGGTGCACAACCAGAGGCTACGCCTGGAAGTTGAGAGTCGCGAGGCCTCGGTTTGTGCAAATACAGCCAAATGAATTACATGGGACTGAAAGCAAAGCCTCCCCAATAAATGCATTCAAACTTGGATGGAGGCCGCCTCCTCTGAGCTTGAAGCAGCACTTGCTTTCGAGCGCTCGGCAGCCAAAGAAGAGCGTGAGGCTCCAACAAGCGAAGTCTAAGAAGCAGCAGTGTCTCCAGCAGACGCCACAATGTTACAGGCTCTGCTGAAGGAGCTGGCAGATCTTAGTATGGAAGCCTCGCAGGCCATGCCGACGTGGGGTTTGCGATCAAACCCCAATTCAGAAGCTGGAATGCCCGATTCGACACTAAAGATCCCCGATTCAGAAACTAGAAATCCCAGATCCAGAAACTAAAGATCCCCGATTCAGAAACTGAAGTTCACTGATTCAGAAACTGAAGTTCACTGATTCAGAAACTAACGGATGCAGAAACTAAAATTCCCCGATTCAGAAACTAAAAATCACCGGATTCCGAAACTAAAGATTCCCGATTCAGAAACTAAAAAGATCCCCACTTCAGCTAAACCTAAAATCACCCAAGCCTTGGGTGTCGGGCTTGGCGGGGTCCAAATCTCAATTGATCTCAGGCCACCGACAATATTCTGCATCCACAAGGGGCTAGAACTGCTCAGGGCCTCCTAGTCAGGCTGTGGCCCGTTTCGTTTCATCCCACCCACCGACAGTTCTGTACTCACAAGGGGGTGGAATTTCTCAGGGTCTCCTCCAAGAGCTATGGCCTTACAGAAGCTCAGAGTGCTTTCCACTTTGGAGTTTTCGAATCAGGGTTTTTCGAATCCGAATCAGGGCGTGACCTGGGTTTGCCTATGTTCTCCACATTCAAGGAGAAGCATTTTCCCGATATTCAGTGGCCTTGCTCTCCAGGTTCGCAGCCGCAACATAGAGATGGAGAAGAAGGAGCAGGACTCTACTTTATTGCCTATGGACAGAGTGTCTAGCACTCCTCGTTCCAGACACTGTCAGTTTGTCAAATGCATATGCCCTTCGCAGACCTCCTCAGCCATCAGTGATGGCCGTGCGGTCAGCATGGACATAGATATCAATGGATTTCATTCTGATTGTGAAGGAGCTGGTAACCCAGCTCGCGAGCCTCTCCGGTCAGTTCAAGGTGGCAATGAACTCGATCCCCATTGTCATGACATATTCTGTTTATTGTGGGTCCGAGTGCTGGTCCGAAAGAGAGCACACGAACAACGCTTGGAGCTGATGGGGCTCATGTTTTGCTTTGCACGTCCAGGCTTCTGAAGCAGCCGCTGCAGTGGCCGTTGAGCAGGGAAGCCTAATGTTTTTTCGCGGCAGACATTTTTCTGTGGGGCTGGCATTGCCAGCCTTCTGGCTGGTTGCAAGATGTTTTTTAGTGAGTGTTTGAACCGCACCTTAGAACTGCGGTACATAGTACAGAGTTGAGGCAACTGAAGGAGGAGGGGCGAGCAACAAGTGCTGCTCTCAGCATGTGCTTTGTTTGCTGCATTTTCTTTAATTCGTGCTTCAACCACAGCATTTGTCCAAGCTGCTTCGACCCTATTGCAGCCTCAGCCGAGTGTCCTGGGGAAGAAGGGTCACAATCAGTGTGAAGATGGCAGCAACCACAGCTGTGTATAGGTGTCTCTCTCGCCAAGGCTTGTTGCAGCGTCAGTGCCAGGAGGCTAATGGGATGAATCTCATCTGCTAGGTGTCGATAGACTCGCCATTAGCACCTGTTGGGTTGCTGACCAGGCCACTCAGAGATCGAATCTGCAAGCACGTGGGAGAAGCAGAATTGGTCGTGTAGTGCCTTGATAAGCCCCATGCAATGCCAAACTAGATGTTTTGCAAGTGGTCATGTCAACAATGGTGACACCATGTTATATTGGTGAACACAGAGCTGAATCCGGTGATGGTGGTGGAGTGGCGCAGCAACAGCAGAAACATTTGTGCAGTAAGCTAACTCTAAGCCTTCAAATCAAGTACGACCCGAGCATCAATAGCAGTAGCATGCCCTAGAAACAGATGAGGTTTGCAGTGCAAGGCTTCGGCTTGCAGATATTTCGTCGACGGATTCCTTTTTCTGGGCGCCAGGCTGAGTCCAAAGCGCAGACTGCCTCAGAGCAGTACCAGGCCAGAATCCAGAGGATGCCTCTGATGTCTAAGCAAAACTGACCACTGCGGGCTGCAACGTGGCCGGCCTGTGCACATGACTTAGCATACTGCCTGTGCAGGCACTCCTCCAGGCACTTAAGAAGGAGCAGGAGGTCGATGGGTGTAAAGACGAGCTTCCTTGTTTGCTGTGATTGACTTCAAAATGTTTTGGAACTTGTTGGTTCTGTGCCTTTTGCAGTTCTGATCCTCAACAGTTTGCAGCAAAAAAGATTTGGACAGGCTGCCGACTTCCAGCTCCAAACTCTTCTGCAAGAGGCTCCATTAACATTTGCTGTGATGACGTTAAGATTGCTTCTTGGACGCAGGCGGCCCACAAACAGAATCAGCTACACGAGCTGAGCGGTGAAGGTCCAGTTGCCATGCTTGACTTCACACTGAAGACGATTAACTTCGGTAAGCTGTGTTTGCTTCGAGGTGCTATCCTCAAAATACCTGAGGCGGGCCGGAATGCGCTTGCACGCCTTTCTGTGGTGAGCTATGTGCTGTGATTTGACTGTTCAATCATGTCTTCAGGTGCCAAAGCTTCCGACAGTTGAAGGTGCGGTCTGAGAGGATTTGCGTGGGGTGAGTTTCTTCTGAGAACATAAGCTACCATCCTTTTTCTGGTGAAGGCTGGCGCATCACAGCTCATGCATGTGCATGGCCTGAGGCTTGGCCACGGCCCTGCTCTCCTGGGCTGATGGAGGCTGTCCGGCATGACCTGGGGCGGTGTGCAGCAAGCCGTTTCGTTTCGAATCATCGGTTTTTGTTACTTTAAAACCAGCAAGAGACGCATAGATCATGGGTTGTACTTTCTCTACTGTCCAGTGTCAGGACACCAGCATAAAACGATGCAACAGCTTTACCTGGACCATGTACAAGTCAGGGCCGGCTCTTTGAACGGAGCCCTGTTGCCAACATGCATGTCAAGCAGGCACTCAGAAACTTTCAAGGATAATTCAAGATTTTTGTGTCCTTTGTACTTTAGTGGCTTGATTGCAATATGCTCATCAATCCTAATAAGCGCCAGCCCATAATTCCTAAGCCTACAGCCCTAGGCCAAGGACCACCCTAGACGCAAATTTTAAGAGGGTTCCTCCAGGCCTTTGAAAAGCAGCAAAAGCCTTGAACAAATTGCGTACGGTGTGTGTTTGACTGTTCATGAAAACCAGCAAAACTGTTGTAATTAACAGTACCTTTGCTTAAAAACAGATCACCAAAACCTCCAAAATCCTTTTCTGGGTTTTCATTGCATTTCACATACACCCAACGTTCAATATATTAATATATTCAATGTAAGCCTACTCAGAAAGCTTAAACCCCTAAACCCTAACCCTAAGCAATAGTTCCTAAGCCTAAAGCCCTAAGCCAAGGATCACCCTAGATGCAAATTGTGAGAGGGGGACAAGGATTTGAATACCTCGTAATAAACCCCAAGCCCTAAAGCCTAAATCCCACAACCTAAGCATTACCAAGGCTGTAAGATTGCTATCGGATTCGTCAAGAGTCATTGCATGCCACATGTATGCAAATGCAGTCTTGGCTTTAGTAGACAGCTGCACAATGGGCTATCAAGAGAGCAAGTTTTACTGTTCAACTGCTTTGGTCCATGCAGGCGAATGCAGCACATGGCTGTAAGGATTCTTGCGGCTTGATTTGTGGTTTCTGCAAGGATCTAAGAGGAGAAGCAGCCACACGACGGCCGCAGACCTACCGCAGTCATTTTTGGCCACTTGGTGAGTGCGATGCAAGGAATCAGCAGGTCATTGTCCTACGCATGAAATGGGAGTGTTGAAGCTTTCTCGAGAAGATTAGGGCTAGGAGTTCGAATGGCCTCCTACTGAGGCGAGTACACTCTGCAGCGTTCCGCTCAAACTCCAATTCAATGGTACGAGTGTATGATCCGCACACCTGATGCTGAGTTCTGTCTGACAAGTGCACCTTCCATACAACTGGCCAGTCAGGGGTAGTACTAAGTGGACTTTGTCTGGAAACTGTGCCAAAACCTGTCAGTAGACTAGCCATACAAGAAGCTTGCCACGCTCTGTGGCCGCGGGCCATGTTAGCTTGGAAACCGGAGACTCTCTGCGATGGTGTGCTGGCATCTTGCTCTGAAGGGTCTTTCGAGTACAGGCGTAATCAGGCGTTGGGGCTGAGGTGTCAACCATGTGATTTCGTGAGGCGTCGGACCGAGCCAAATGGCTCATGGAGAACCAGGGCCTGCCCAGGGAAGCTTCTCGGCTTCATGCTGACACGTACCATTTGGATGGCGGAGGAAGAGGTGAAAACTTCAATCTACTAAGGCCGCGCAACAACGCGTCATTGCCGCAACTTGGGCCTTAATTATGTCACGTCTCCTCATTGTGCAAGATGCAATGTCAAACTGTCTCCTCCTGCCGACGAACTAAGGAGTTTCCCAGCGAGTTTGGTGCTAGTCGTTGTTGGAATCCCAATGAGGATTGCGGCGGTCTTCGCGCAGAGGCCTTGGGCATGCCAAATTTGCCGAGTTTTTCTGGTGTACAGCCAGCTCCTTGCTTTTAGCATAAATGTGTTGGAGAGCCTTGCCTGCCAGCACCCTGAAGGATCGAGCAAAGTGGCTCGTTCAGAACCTGGGTCTTAGCCCGGCGGATGCCCAGAGAAAGATCATGGACGAATTCCCGAAGGGTTTCCTATGCTTAGAGACGCCGGAGCCTGGCATGGGCAGGCTGAGCTGGCTGCCGCAGCCAGGGACCAAAGCTCCTGCGGTCGGGTATCATTCTGGCAGTGATGAGCTCCAGGGCAGTCCAGAACCAAACCCGCCCAGCTGGCCTGACACCGTGAAGGTTCTTAGCAAGGCCTCAGGCTATGAGGTGGTGGACAGAATCTACGAGGAAATGGCTTCCCTGGACAGAGGTCAGTTCTCCACCAGCAGATATGCCCTCTTCTTTGAGGCTTCGCCAAGAATGCATGAGGTGGATGTCCGAGTTGGATTCTATACATCAGTCTATGGCTTGGGAAGGCATCCATCTGATACCAAAATTCGTTCCGTGACATCCACCAACGAGACACCCCATCCAGAGCTTGGCTCGTTACAGAACTTCTGGCGGAGACTTGGTCCCAGCAGGCACTTCCGTGTATCACTGCATGAAAGCTTTTGGAATGCATCTCAGGAGCGCCGAGAACTTCCAAACCAACTGCCATCCCACATACACCTGCGGTGGCCAGGGTGGCATGCTGTGGGCGGTGTCACAGGCTGCTCCTTTGCGACGAGCGGTGGTGGACGACAACCTTTGCCTTTCGTCCCTGAGCTTTGAAAGCAGTCCAAAGTTTTTGTATGTGGAGGCACTGCAGCCAACATAGTCAATGCGCCCAAGGTATTTCCGGCTCCCCCCAACAGGCGTGAAGGCCAGCGATCCTGGGCAGCTGATCCGGTTCTGGCAGTAGCACAGCTTGTAGGCTCTGAGAAGCTGTGCCATGCTGTGCCCAGGGTGGAACCAAGGCTTGCACTTACTCGAAACTAAGTAGAAGTGACGAGGGCTTCACCTGCGGACCTGTGAGAGCAGTTGCAGACCCTTGCAGTCCCTTGCACCAACTTGTGCCCCAAGGATCCACGCTATCCAAAACAAGGCGCCTGCCTCGAGTACGACGCTTGACATGTTGCCACTTGCTGCCAGCAAAATGCAGCGACTGATAAAGCCTGTGGCATCAGCATTCGAAGCTGAATGAAGCCGAGGACGGCTGGGTCAAGCTTGGGTATCGGGATCCGATTGCAGACTTCGCCAGCCCTGATCTCAGCTCTTTTCTCCAACAGGCCCAAGTCAGACTCAGCTGCATCAAGGCGGTGGCTTCATGGCCAACGTCGACGTGAGGGGCACGGTAAGCCTTGGCTCCCAGCAGCAGTTCTTTGCGCGGAACTGTTCGGCGAAGCGTTGGGAATCAGGCAGGGCGGCAGGACCTCAGCTAGTTTGTGCGAAACAGCTTGGGCTGTATTCGAACAGAGCTGTAGGCTGTGAACAGTTTCCAATGTTTACCGTAGTTAGACAGCGGGTTCCAGGCGCTTGGAGCTTCGTTTTCGTCGGGTGTCCTGGAGCCCCCCATAGCGAGCCTGTGGAGGCCTGGCGTGACGAGCACTTTCGGCGTGTTCAATGCATTACATAGACCTCCTGTAGTAATGCATCCTCATGTGCATTCTGGACAGGCTACATCCAAAGGCCCTGTCTACACCCGTCTCGACGCTTCGGAGGTTGCTTTTTGTGGCATTTTTGCTTAGGCTTGTGTTGCAAATCCAGGAAACTTTAATTGAGAGCCTTTTGCACAAAGTGGCCATGTGCAGATGGGTGTAGAAAGAGAGAGCTCTTTGGATGTTGTGTGCCTGAGATGCAGGTGATTGCAGAAAAGCCCTTCATCATCAAAGAGAGCCTTGCTTAAGTTGTTCCCGGGTGGTGATGGATTGCTCACGTACGTCTGGAGCAGAAGTCATTGATCTGTTGCATTGCTCTTGGACTGTTGTTCTACGCGTCTTCAGAAAATTCAACACGAGATCAACCGCTGCGACTCCAGATTAATTCAGGATACACCTACTGGACATTCTTCTTCTGGACAGAAGACTCTCAGATCTCAGGAATGACGGCCGCTACAAGCTGGTGGTTCCTTCAGCCTCCGCTGGCCGCAGCGGCACTGACTTCGAGCTTGCAGAGGCCCAGCTGCCAGCAAAGTCGGAAGTGCTGCGCGATGCTGTGTGGAAATGTGCGAAGGAGGAGATACGAGACTTCAGCGCAGTCTATGTGGCTCTACCCTCGAAGCTTGGACGGCATGTTGCACGGTTTTGTTGGAGCACGCTATGAGGTGTCTTATGCAGGCTTTAGAAGGCACTGGCTTGTGGGCGCACTCTGCCAGAGGATTGCAGGCTTTCGGAGTATTCTTTGCTTCAAAGGTCATGTGGACAGGAATTCACAGTACGTTTTTAACATGGCATGTCAAACTCCACTAGGTGCTGGATAAAGTTGGGACATATGTGTGCGGGAAGAAGCCGCGTGGAAACTACGACCAGTATTTCATCAGCGTTCTGCCTGAGATCCATGGGAGCAGTTCTCCCCCTGCCTTGTCAGTTCTGCTTCTGGTACTTGTAGTTCATGTGCGACACTGAAGTGTGGTGCTTTGTATGATACATACACACATGGCGAAAGATATCATGTTCCCCAGCACCAATCTATGTCCAGTTGATTGGGTAAGGAAAAGTGCTAAAGTACTGACACTGGGATGAGGTCCAATCACATTGTAGGTAAGTAACTTCAACTCCGTGGAGTGTGTTTAGCAAACCAGGAGCGGAGCCGGCGAAATCAACAAGAAGCTGGCTGAAGGTAAGGATATTGCCGCCTGGCGGCAAGGCATGACAGCGACAAGTCCACAAGCACGGCCTTGCGTGTGTGACCCTCCGTCCGCTGTCCTTGAGTTACCACAATATCCTATCTTATCCCTGCTGCGAGGTTTTCTCTCCAGGAATCTACCACCTTGAGGAAACCCTCCATGTGAAGAGGAGCGGCCAGGTGGACTCGATGGAAATGCTGCATGCCATCGGTGAAGAGAACGCATCCTTGGCAGGTGTTGCTGGCTCTGGGCTTTGCGACTCTGGTGGCACCAGCCGACTCGCCTTGCATCGTAGTAGCACGGCCAGCAAAGCTCTCTTAGCAGCTCAGTTCATGCTCTCAGGCTGGACAACATTTTGTGACCTCGAACACAAAGGTAGATGATGATGCTGCAGGCATCCGGATCTCAGGCATGATGCTGGAGGCCAGGAGTGCGGAGGTTGAACCCAGACCTGACGTCAAGCATGCAGCCACAGCAGGACCTGATGTTGAGATCTTGCCATGACTGTGCGAGGCTCCATATAGACCACTGGAAAAGGCCTCGCCTGCCGGGCTGGCCTCGCCAGGGCCAAAGGCCGAGCTGTTGAGAGGGGAGCCAACCCGAGCTAAACCGTATTCCAGGTCTGCGCACATATGCAAAGGGTTGGTTCTGTCTCGTTGTACTGCCTAAATCACGCCAGCCACGCACCTCGATCTAACTTTGCACTGCCGGATGGCGTCCGGTATCAGGCCAAGGACTGTTTGCCAGGTGAACAAGCTTGCAGGCAGTGGATGCATGGGTTTGAGTAACTGGTGGGAAGAAGCGGGTACTGTGTGGTGGTAGACATCTCTGAAGTGGGGCATGGATCATGTTGGGGGAAACGGATATAGCAAACATCGTCAAGCACCCACCAGCCGTACCAGGCCTGGGTTGTACCATGTTCCAGCCTGTGGCCACATTGTTACGAGCGAATGTTGCATTGTCACGTGTGAGTCCGTGTGAGTAGTTTCTGCATTTAGGATAGTTTAGTCCGCAGCACCCGGCAAGATTGCGCTTGTCACTTGCTTGCAATTCTTGAATATCATCAATGCAACGTATCTTGGTTCTACCGCTCAAAACATCCTGCGTGTATGTCATACAGGCACAACCGTAGAATGGTGTCTTCGATCCAGAAAACAGGCGTCAAGCAGGTTTGCCAACATGTGCAGCCTTGTTAGTTTATTGTGGGCCTTATCAGAATGCCTACCGAACGCAGTGTTGCAGGCGCTGCTTCAGTGGGGGTGTGGGAACTCAACGAAGCGCAGTCTGGCAGCAGATGATCATTGCTTCTTGCGAGCCACACCTCAAGTTAAGCGGCTTGTCATAACAACGCATTTAGACTTCAGCACTGTAGGGCATGCTATGCCGGTATATGCCGCTGTAGGCGATCCAGCTGCGCTTGCATCCTGGGGCTTCCTGCATGACTGCTTTGCTCGTGTCGGTGGGCAGGAGGCCTGGCAAATTTCTGACTGGATTTCTTACACAGCGCTGCTCCAGAGGTTTGGGGCTTACGTGTCTGTATGGGTTATACGCCCTCAGAGTTGGGAACCAGGCTTCAAGGCTCCGTCATTCGCACAATCTCACAGAAGGCCGAATGCTGCATACGAATACCTACAGGATGCAGGGGTACAGTGATTGAGAATGCCTAAACTTTTTTGAATTCATGTTTAGGAGCACTGGCGTTGCTAGGCTCCGTTCACGGCCCGGGACGAGATAGATGCAACAAGGCCCTGAGGGAGATGATGGGAGACGAAAGCCTGATGTGGGATTTCTTTTGCTCTGAGCATTTTGAGCACTCGATAGCACTTGTCACTCAGCCATGCCTAGCCCGCTCTGGCGTGTTTGTTTGACATGCATGCTGCTGGCCCTTTCCTGAGAAGACAGGCTTCAGCATTGATCCCACTCACTCGTGACATGTTGCAAGTTCTGGTTCTGGCCTGGAACCGAACGTCAACCACGTCAACTTGGAGCCTTCGCAATAAACAGTAGCCAGGCCTGATTCAATCAGCTGCTGCCAGGAGACCCCAGACCCGACCTCACAGCGACGTGCCGCTCTTCGACTCGGAAGCGCGCTGTCGTCACCTGTCTCAAGCTCTCGAGACTGTGGGCTTCAGGTTTCCTCAGTCGTTGAAGGTGTCGAATGACGTATCCCCATTGTCTCAATTTCTGCCAGAGGTGAAAGTTGACTGACATGTAACTGCGTGCGTTTACATTGTGGATTCCTTTGCATCAGACTGAAAAAGCATCTGGTGGTGACTGTGAGTTGCTTCCACAGATCATGTCAGGTACCATGGTGCAGCTTCAAACACCCTGTGTTGTCGGTGCTGCTTGGCAAACCAGGGGTTGTGGTCCATTTCAGCTCGCTATACTGCTTCTCATATTGACGAGCATGTGTTCATAAGATTCATGTCTTCCTAGGACAACTTGTGGCTATGGCGTGCGGACCACTGGCTCAGTGACCAGTACTTGGTGTACAATCATGTGCCCCAGACTGAACCAGTCTTCAGTCTTTGCCAATGATTGTGCAAAAATGGGCTGTCAGCAATCATGCGAGCCTTTGCCAGCGTTGGGTTGCAGGAGAACCGATGCGAAACCGGATTGCATGTTGGGCAGGCGGCAAGATACGTGCCATGATGAAACAAAGTAGCTAGACTTCCGAGTGTCGCCATGGCTCCTGTGGTTCAGTGAAACTTATCGCATCTCATGCTGAGGTCACCATGTATGGACTTTTCGTAGAGCACACGCTGGGCAACATGACGTACTGGGAAGGACAGATCGCATGTTCAAGCCCAGAGCAAATGCAAGGGCTTTGACTATGTCAGGATGTTCAAAACGTATCCATCATCAACTTGCAATGCAATACTCAAGACGTTTTAACAGTTATTGCCAATTATTGAGCATTTTCATTTGGACACTTTCCATTCTTTGCTCAGCAAGGGAGGGTGACCGTCTTACCTCTTGATGTGTCCTTGCCTGGGCATGTTGATTGTCTTCTTGTATTGCAAGGAGAGGACGGCACCACTTTCTTCTATCAGTCGGAGCTTCCATACGATGCCATGGATGTTTCTAACTCAGGGCAGCGCTGATGTGTCGACGTCTTGCTGTGATGCTTTGTCCAAGCTGCTTGCAGGTTGATGGTGCTAGCAAGGTATCGACATTGCCGTACTCAGGTTGCGGGAATCTTGGATGTCATTATGGCAGAAGCTCTACGGGAATGCTGTGTAGCCTGACAGAGAGAGAGTTTTGCTTCCGCAGTATCTTTAATGAACGCAAGGGAGAAACGTGGCAGACTGCAGTGCCGGGGTGTCATGGGCCAGGGAATTGGCAGTGTGCTGGGGTACGTTCAGCTTTAGTTCTGTTGCTATGCAGTGTCCTTTGAGGGCCCTGACTGAACCACGAGTCAGTGCAGTAGAGAGGTGGCGTTGTGGTTAGCCTACGCCGTAAGTGCAAAGGCGAGAGCAAGAATGCTAGTCTCACAGTTTGAGGAGAAGACCCTGGAGTAGCGTGCTGATATTCGGACACTTAGCTAGCTGCGTTTCCGTGCAGTGCCGTAGCCCGTGGGTCGTCTCCTCAGTTCAGGGATGGTGTGGGTCCAGCTTGTGCCATGAGAGCAGGGCGAGGGCAGTAGCACCGGTCTCACGAACCAGCTTGAGGAGAGGGCCCCTTAATCCCGTTTGTTGTTGATTGCGCGGGGGAACTTATAGGATTTCGCCTGCACAGATTATGAAGCCTGGATATTCGCTGGTTAGGCATCGTGACCGCCAGAACCTGCATGGGCTCAGGGCTGTGCCCTGACCTACCCGTAGGGGTAGGTAGGGCCTGTAAAGAAAGAAAGAAGAAAGAGATAGATAAAGCACATAATCAGCAAGCAGACGAATTACGTAAAGAGCGAGAGCATTGTTTTGGTTCGCTTTGATGTGTAGTGTCCGCTGAACCACATGGGATTTTTCAAGGTACTGCGTGGCAGATCATGTGCAACGTCATGTCGCATACGGTGCCCAACATCCTGCATTGATGATTCTGATTCAGAAGGTTGCTGTGAAAGCTGCTACAAGTGGCACTGAAAGGGTTGGACGCAGCAAAGATTGCAGCACGTTAGATGAGGCAAATGTCAGCGCCTGTGCCGAAGGTGTTGGGGTCTACTGCTACTTTCGTGACTACGACATCACTGTTCCTGCTGCCATTGTTGCACCAGACAATGTGACACAGCTGCAAATGCCTGAAACCCGTTACCAGAAAAGAAAATATGGCTGCCAAGCATTCGGACTGAGTGCACGGCCGGACAGTGATGCCGCAATTCTAGCAGAACAGGCATTGAAAAGGGCTCTTTCTATAAAACGAAGCGGTTTTCTTGTGCTTTCAGCCGTGAAGCGGCCTAGCAGTTGAACGATGAAAGTGAGTTGTGGCGGAGCTTCTTTGTCGGCTTTGTCTATGCTATGCCAAGGCAAGAATCAAATTTCAGAATCTTGCCTGCGATTGAAGCAGTCCTGGCAAACAAGTGATCCACGAACAAACCTGTCTTCGGAACATAGGCAAATATGTCGACAACCTTCGGTGTTTCGATAAGGCAGGCAACAGCAGAAGCCACTGACGGTAGCGTCATGCAAGCACAAAGATGGATCCAAGGAATGCCTTTACGAAGTGGCTAAATGGCGGTCCAAAAGTGTATGCGCCAGAGTTGCATGCTCAGCAGAAGCCATCCTTCTTCATCATCGTTTTTGAGGTTGCTTGGGTCCCCGGGAAGTCCCGGGTGGCTTGCCTGGCAATTCGTTCCAGGTAGCGTCTTGAGCGCATAGCAAAGGTCCTGCCTGCTTGTGTGCGAGAAGAAGTACGGCCACATTCAGTGTTGCTTGCTTGAGCATCTGATTGCTGTTGCAAACAGTCTTCTTCTGGGATGCTTGCTGCTTGTACGCCACAATGATGCAGCCAGCCTTTCAGCTAGGCTTTCCTGCGCACGGTCCTGATGCAGTGGGCAGTGTGTTCAACTTGCTCAGGCGTTGTGAAGAAGGGCTCTCGCCCTTTGGGCGCTTCCACGGACAACGACAAGGACGGTATTACACCGTGAATCCAGAAGAGATATCGAGTGACGTCATTGCTCATGAATGTTCTTTCACTTGCGGAGTTCTAGGCTAGAACCAGTTCGCGTGCCAGCGCAGTTGTTGAAGGACAAGCCTCACTTTGTCAGTACCTGACATCCCAGGCAGGACGCTGACAATGCAGGTCCATGCAAATATATGCAAATGCAGCACGGAAGAGAAACATTGTTTTTGCGACTGACATGATGGGAAGAGTTTGATGCCTGCAGGCGTGCAGCTACAGCCTGCGAATAGTCTTCTGCGCAGGTGCATCGATGCTGGTACTGTGACTGAATTCGGTTTGTAGCCAGCTGGGCCTCGGAAATCAATCAGTAGTCACAACAACCGTCAATTTCAGTAAAGGTCGTTTACCAGGCACAGGGCTGTCACAACACCTAGATGCGGTTGAGCATTGAGTGCACTGACATTTGCACTAACAGTTACCAGCACGACCACTATGCCTGCACGTGCGAAGGAACTTTCAACTGTTAGCCTTTTGGGCCTTCCTGGCTAGGCATACCATCGTTTTATTGCTTTCCGCAGCCCGAATCAGTTGACTTGAGCACAGGAATCTCCAGCATTTGTGCAGAGGCCAGGCTACATGTTAATACGATTGAACAGACAGCTGTTTTCGGGCTGTTCATCAATTTGAGTTAGCGAGGATAGATCCTACTTGGGGCTTCTCGCGCTTTGATTTCCATTTTTGGGCAGTATGGGTTGAGTCTGTCACAGGAAGCAGACTCCCCTCGCACTTGTGCAGGCTGCTGTAGGCAGATCAGCATTGATCTGAAGCTTCGACGATTCGGCCGCCCGAAAAGGGCAACTTTTGGAGCCAAAGCTCAGGCTGTCTGTGCCCTGCTCGCCCTGATTGAGGTTCGAGGAGGAGAAGCGGAGTCGCATTCTGCCAAGGAGGCACATGGCGAGCGAGAACAAGACTCACCGCACTTTCCTGCTGGCTGCCTCAGGCCGCGCTTGTGAAGCTTCAAGCACGCTTGGCGGAGGCTGTCGCAGGGGGTTTTGGATGCTTCTTTCATGAAGTCAGAAGCAACACAATCTGCTCAAAAGATCAAAGAAGTTGATTCAGAGGCTTTGAACAATCGTGATACTCTCGCTGTTAGCAAATTAACATGTAATAATACGACCCATATCCTTATAGGTACAACATATTTTCTGGGAATATTATCATTGTGGTCTAGACATAGTTGTGTTCCGGCGGCGGGGTTTGGTAATTTTTGGGTCTAATTCCTAACGTGGAGTTAACATCCCTGCATAGCCTGTACTGTATAAAGGGACTTCGCAAAATCAACGACTTTGAAAGCTCTCGCATCGTATCCACTTGGGCCTCTCTGGTAGTTCTGCGCAGACCTCCTTGATCTCTGCAACTGTTTTTTCTGCACACGCTGGCTGACATTTGGAGTCCCAGGCACCATCTCACAATGCCCAAGACAACACTTATGACCTCTTCCAGAGCTATCTGATGACAGCCTTTCCTAGCTATGAATCATGGCATCCACTTCAGCAACCTTAGCCACTACCTGTACCCGGACCTGGTGCTACCGGTAGGCTATGATCTTTCGAGATGAGATTTACTTTGCGTCTTTTCTTCAATCGCCCAACATGCTACATAGCAGTGTCTGGCGTCTTGAGCTCCCGTGCATGGAGGCCGAAGCAGCGCAGGTGGAGCTGGAGGCTGGATGGCTGGACTGCCTCAGGTCATGTTTGCACGCGATTGTGGGTGGACTGGTGGACTCTGTGCAGGTTCAGTCCGCAAAGAGCTTTAATCAGCTTCAGGAGAGTGCGGAGGGTGACAGAGCAGCCACTCCCTCAGAAAGCAGGTAGTTTGTGCATGAAAGGCAGGGACGTTTTCACCAGAGATGCGCAACCCGCACAGCATGCTTCAGGCTTTCAGTCAAGAGCTGCGTTCTCTGCAGCGAAATGTCCGCTCAGAGCTGGACGTGCCGCCCTGATCTGTCACGCTGTTTTAGTCAGCAGCTGTTCCAAAATCCTGGGAAGCAAGAGTTGACAAGTCATCATCTGCAGGCTTGCTCAGATGTAGCGCTGCCTTCGCGTCAGGCTAGACCTAGTGTAATGTCCAGAGTCTAGGTCCTGTCAGAATGCACGACCGAATTACTTGTCACAAGTTCTGCCAGGCTCGCCTTGAAGCACAACTGGGTGAGATGCGGCTGGAGCGAGAAAAGGCGGAGTCTTTGCTTCGCTCCTGTGACTTGCGGCATGACCCACGCTTCCTTCTGTGCTGGGCAGTACGCATAGGCATAGGCTTCGGAAGCATGACGAAGCTCCAGATGACAACTTTTCAACCCCTCTCTACCATAATAACACGCGACAAAGCGCCCCGGGCTGCGGTTCGAGCATTTGATTTTCTCTGACTGGCGTCTGCCCAGCTGATGCTGTGTACTTAGCGTATTTTGTTTTGTTGCACAGCCGCTGCAGCCAAAAGCAACCAATCAAATGGATATCCTGGCCAACTTGCTCAGACAACTTCGTCATGCCAGGCTGCGCAAGAGTTACGTGCGGTGCAGGGACGAGAAGTTGATCTGCGCAAGGCGCACGACGGTCGACATTTTCAGTTGCCGTAGATCATTTGCTGTTTAGATACATGTGATTGACATTTTTGCTACTAGGAGCTTTTTACCATCATCTCGAATAGGATTGGGGGTTGTCTTTGTGCTTTCGGACATTTGGACACCACGTGAACCTATATGGATTTGAATGAATTGACATGTAGCGGCGTTCGATCTGTGCAGGACCTGGAGTCTGGAAGCCGTGAGCTGAAAAAAGCCCGCGAGGCTCGCTCGCTCGACCAATCTTTGTTCCATCCTTCTGCCATCCTTGCTGCTACTACTGCCATTGTCTCATATTCGATGCCCTCAAGATTACACAAGCCGCGCATTGAGAGGCACACCAGATTGAAGTGGATCTCCTGGCTGCGGAACTTCAGCAATTCCAGGCCCGTCACCCCATGGTGGCAAGATTTTTTCATGCGACTGCTTGCCTTGCTCCAGGAAGAACAAGGCCAGCTTGAAGAAAAGCTTCGAAGCTGCGAGGCGTGAGCTGGGGCATGAGCGGGCAGTGCTTCAAGGTTGCCAGGTGGTTGATGGTGTCTCAGGCACAGGAACCCATGCTGCGCGCCCGACTAGAGGAAGCCCAAGCTCAAGTCTTGGAGGACTGTTTTGGCAATTTCCGCATAAGCTCAAGGTAAAGGGCTGTAGAAGTGTGGAGGAGTCGCGCCTTGGCAGACGCTCGCTTCAGCGACAGCAGCGGACCTTCCAGGCGGGTGCATGTAGGTATGTTAACAAAAGCCTCTCTCAAGGAGCAAGCAATTTTATCCCGAAAAGACAATGCCTTAGCCAAACAGAGGAACTCAAAAAACAGAGCTGTCCCACTTAGGAAAGAAGTCTCAAGCAGCAAGCTTTCAGGAAAGAGCCGCCCCACCATCATACCCTTACCCAGATGTATGGAGTCAAACACAGGCGCGTGAGCGTGAGACTGAGCTGGCTGGCAACTTAACATGCGGTGATGAATCTGACAGCCTGTCGAAAGCCTTACGCTCTCCACTTCAAGATGGTCTGTCTCAACCTGCCAGACATACACATCTGGTCCTGAGACAGCTTTGTTAGCCAGAGGCCACTGAGCAGCTCCACCAGGAGCAGCAGCACCTCATTGCTCAGCTGGCTGATGCTGAGGCATCTAAACCTCTTACCGTAGTGTTGATGCGCCTTGCTGCAGTCGGCAGGCAAAGCTGGTCGTACAGCTCCAAGTCTCCTTATTGTGCTGCTGTCATGATTGGCATATGTCCTGGCAGATGAGGGTTTCAGCAGAGGTGACAAAGGAGCAGCTGAACAAGGCATCGGGCTCAGATTGGCCCATCGCACGCAAACACCACGTCCCAACTTCATGGGCAAGCTTCCAGTCATACATTCCAGCCCAGGCTCGGGAGGACAAACTCACCGACCGGCAGCGATTGGAGCGTCAGCAGGGTGCTCGGAAGAGGGGGAGACTGCAAAAGTCATGCCAGGTCAATCAAGACTTTTGCAAGGAGAGAGGATGAAGATTCATGAGCTGGCCAGATGTGAGCCCCGACATGCCGAGAGAAGCCACATGCAGAAAACAGCGGCAACATTCAGCAAACAAAAGTCAAAAACACCACGGCGGCATTCAAACACAGGACGGCCAAATTCAAAAACGGCAGCGCCAGATTCAAGACAGTAGCACCACATTCAGAAAACAGGACGTCCAGATTCAAAAGCGGACAACCTCATCCCGAAAACAGACTTAGTGGATCGTATTCCAAACCAGCAGCGCCAGAGACAGAAAACAGGACGTCTGAAATTAAAACAGGACCGCTTCACCCGAAAAACACAGAAGCATCATTTTGGGTTTGGGTTTTCAGGGTTTAGGGTGGATTTAGGGCTTTAGGGTTTTTAG